AGATTATGAAAGGGAGTGTCCCCCTGAAGTACACCAAGGGATTTCCTTTTCCAACACAACCAGCCTTGGGCTTTAATCGGCGGGGTCTAGACATGGCGTCCATGGCGTGCTGAGGTTGCTGCAAGTTCCATTCCCTTCTCTGCCTTCGTCACAGCCAAAAGATCCTTCCTGCAGAAGCCGTGTGGCTGGGACGGATTCCGAGTGGATCTGACGGCTTGTTCGCTGAACCACCTCCGGCCTCCCCCCCATCAAGCTCGGGGAGGGACCCTTTCCCGGAAAGCAATCCTTGACACACCTGTGAATCTCCAAAAGAGGGAAACCATCTTTGGGTTGACTCTGAAGGGCGGCCCCCCTCCAGAAGAAAACCCAACCAAGGTTCCCGTGGCTTTGCGCGTGCGTTGAGTTCCCGGAATGGCCTGGCTGCATCTTGGACAGGACACCGAGCAGGTAGTGCCGTACCAGCCCGGGTAGCACTGGCAGAAGCCCTTTCGATGCGAGATGTTTCGGGGGATGGCGGAGGATTGACGTGGGGACCTCCCCGAACCTCCACATTTGTTTACTAAGTGAACAGACTTGTTTGTGTTTGTGTTTGCTTTTATGCTTGTGTTTACATAGCCCGATTCCATCATTTGGGAATTGCGCGGTCTACTTTCACCCTAGGCATGTTTTGTCCACGGAAGTGCAAGCCTGGCTGATCACGACAAGATGAACATCCACCTGCCTCCTGCCTATCGGTTGCAGGGGAAAATTGAGCGAAAACCCGTGTAGGTCCAGTAAACTTGGATCTGAAACTTGCTTCAATTTATGATGAGGCTATGTTTCTTTGACGGAAAGCGACTTTGTTGCTGGAGTTCAGTGTACAGGAGGGGAGTCGCGAACACGAGATAGATGGAGGGTCATGACTCTTGGGAAACGGAGACAATCACTTGAACTGTCGACCTGTGAATGATAGACACCCATAAGAAACACAAATACGCTTCAAATAACAAACGGTAGATGAAGGAATGAGACCAGCATTTCAAAGGGACTAGCATCTTTTATTGGGGAGGAGTATATATTCACCAAGGGTCGACATTTAGGGTTTCTGCAACGATGCATTCCAAACCACCTGCTTTATCAGGGGCATCCTCTCAAACACCTGTTCTACGAGGGTCCTCAAAGACTGGTGGACCTTGGAGATCCTTGGAGGGTCCGTTGGTGCGTGTCTGCATAGGCTCATGACCCTTAGGGTTTATGTGTTGAACGAATTTCTAGTTGGCCCACATCTATCCAGACCAGCAGCCCATAGCCCTTCGGCGGCCTCTATGTCGCATTTTCCTCCAATGCAGTTGCCTCGCGAGTCCGGGTTGCTGCGGAAAACCCTGCGGGTCCCTTACCCGCTGAAGAAAAAGCTGCACCTCCCGCCAGTGGCCGCCCGAAACAGAATGCACTTCCAAGCAAACTTAAAGCCTGCTCAATCACTAGGGTGGGTGTGGGGGTACCCTTCGACAAACTCATTCGCCATGGCAAAGTCATATAGGACCCTCCTTAAAAGGCTGTGGACCTCGAACTTGAGTTGTTTGAGGCTCTTCCAAATTATTAGAGGGTTGGTTAATCCTAGGTCCCTTCCCGCTTCCCAAGATGAGAAGTATGCCTTGACCCGAAAATCTCGGATGAAACGGAAAATCAGCACTTCGCCTTTCGAAACTTGGAAGGGAAACACGATCGAAGCCTTAGGAGCGACATCCGTGCATCGGACCGTGGTCAACTCCAGCGTTTGGCTTTTCCCGAATGCGTAGCGAAGGGTTGCCGTTTATAGTGTGGGGTCTGGGGGTTGGACCCTTGTTCGCATCGTGTTGGTCGTCTCGTCGTCGTGTCGTCGCGGTGTCGTCGCGGTCTCGTCGCGGGAGGGTCCGAAAGTCCGTCCCGTTGGGGAAGGCGTTGAACGCGTGATTTGGATGACTTGCGATGTGTTGCTTTCGTTGGCCCTGTGCGGGAATCGTAGCTGTTGGCATGTTCGGTGTCATTTCGCTTCGCAGGCGCAGTGTTTCGTGAGGTTTCACGCTTGCGAGGTGTTGTCAGAGGTGTCGTGTCAATCAGAGGTGTTGATCAGAGCGATCAGCAGTGCCGATCAGAAGTGTTGCTCAGAAATGTTGGTCAGGAGTGTCGCCGCGCTCAGAAGTGTTGTTCAGAAGTGTCGCTCAGCGTGTCGATCAGCTGTGTCGACCATAAGTGTTGGTCATAAGTGCTGTTCAGAAGTGTTGCTCAGAAGTGTCCAAACCGCAGAAAAATAGCAGTGCTGTCAGAATGCCATAGTTGACTGGATGCCCGCTGAAGTGGACACTGGAGCGCCCATTTAAAATCTCGTTGAGCTCCAACAAAGCTTCAAACTTTTGGAGGTCCAAAACGGCAAATCGAGGGACCCCGCCTAAACAACTCACCCCAAACCCTCTGCCCCGCGCCCCTCCCCGTCTTCCGGCCTGTGTGGCATCTTCTGGTGCACCCTCCCGGCGGGTAGTAGTCCTCCGCACATCCCGGGTCCGACGCGAGGCTTCGGGGCTTCGGATGCTTCAGTTCCGACACACACACACACAGACACACACCTACACCTCCAAGTCCCTGATTACTTTCAGTCCCCCTCGGCTCTTTTTTCGACACCCAAGTCGGGGTTTCGGTATGGCTTGAGAATTGAGGCCAGATCGGACCCGAGAGAAATGCATGATCAGCGGAATCGCCATTTGTTGGGTACCGCTTGTTTGGGGGTGGCAGGTTTGTCATGAAGAGTAACTCCTACTCCAAATACTGGAAAGGTGCTGGGTTTCCTTAGGAAATACATCCCTAATCCGAAGACTACCCGCCCATTCCAAAGTAGAAAAAAAAAAAAAACAGGCTCGCCTGTCGAAAACGGCTTTTTTCAACCCAAAACGTTTGTTCCAATCCGGCCTCGGGATGGTCCCCAGGCACAAACGCGAATGGAACTCGGTTTTGGTGGTTCCGCGGATTTCCCTGCAGAGATCTGTGCCCCGCCGATGTCCCTGCATTCTCTGCAACACGTTTCACCGGGGCTGGTTGAAACATGCAAACATATTATCATACATCGAACTTCCGTGCACGCCCCGGAATTCCCACCCAAACAAGTGAAAAGGCAGAACAACTGCAATCAACAACAACTTGTTCCAACTTCAGGCCCGGTATGTTCAAACAATGTGCTATCTTCCACAGACAATTTCTCCGCCTATCGTCGGAGGTTGGCACGATGGCTGATCCAGTTCAAATAAAAAGGCAAAGGAACCAGAGCTGTCGATGGGGAAGGAACCGGTTTCTGAGGTGAAAAGCGAAGCAGCTGGTGAAGGTCCAAAACAATCACAGGAGTTCCCTCTAATTGGAGGTTTGCATTGGTGGTTTGGTGGTTTGGTGGTAGGGATGGGGGGGGTTCTTTGCCGTGCAGCGCGCGCTCGCGCACCTCTTCGCACAGCTCACAGTGCTGGCCTCTGTGGCCTGGCGAGCATTTTTCTGCGGCTCAATAAGCAGAAATGCAAAATGTGTCACTACAAAAATCATGTTGTTGTTTCCTTTCTGTTTTTGTTTATTTGATAGTTTGTTTGCTGTTTTTTGCTGCGGGGGATTTGGAACAAAAGCCGGGTTGTCTTGTTTTGGGGGGGTAGATTTGAGGAAACCATGGTGTAAGCTTTGGTCAATTGACAACTGGTTGACATCTACCCTGTTTTGCATGTTGCAGAACGACATTCCCAAATTCGAGGTCTTCGAAAGAAGGTTCCTCTTCACGGGACTCCTTTGAGGTTACTCATCCAACACCTAAAAGTCAAAAAACTCACAGTGCAATTTGCAGGCAGCCGTGGTCAAGGACGCTCAAAGACGGGAACCCTCAAAAAAAGGTCTACCTTTGACTGCGGCCCCTTTTGGATTGGGATGTACCAGGCCCGATGTCCATAGGAGTCGAGCCCGATCGCAAGGTGTATGGCTTCAGCCCTTGAAGGGAGCGGGGGTTCCCCCGAAGCCTAAGGCTCCGATTCAACGATTGGGCTGAAGGACTGTTGCCTTTGAGGGACCTTGAGTTTCCCTCAAGTGGGGTGATGTTTGAGGGGGACATACTCATGGACGAAATCCTTCTCCACCTAAGAAACCCTGAAATGGTTGCCCTGTAAATACCACCAAGCAAAGGTTTCCATGGCTTCTTAGGTGGCCGGTGCAGGATTTGTCCATCCGCATGGGGCCGTTCAGTACTTGATTCCAATCCCTAAGCCGATTCCAATCCACGACTCCGATTTGCATTGAAGAGGTACTGCAGTAGCTAGCCGCCAGCCAAGGGCCATGATCATATATGGGTGTGTGTCAGGATTGCGATGTTCCTTCAGCTTCCCTGTAAAAGCACCCCAGAAAAGGGTACGGAACCCTCAACAAAAGGCAGAAGCCAATTGCGGAAGGCCAACACTCCTGCGCCATTGAAGATTGAAACAAACTTCGGCTTGCCATTCCCACAATCAAACGTGCATCCAATTCCTTCTGGCGCAGGGGCCAGCAACCTACAGTAATACAAACAATTCAGGGTGTTGTCTTCGGAGAACCCGAATCGCCATCATGTCCTCACTTCCGGAGTGGATTGGCCAAAAAACCATCTGAGCCTTTCTTTGCACTAAAATGGTCTTCGCACAAAATATACAGTCCAACCGGTCCGACCGACCGAACCGCCTGGTTCACACTGGCACGCCCCGAAGTCATTGCACTCACCTCGGCCAACTTCCGAAGCCTTCAGTTTAGGTTCCAGGGTATCAAAATAGCCCCCCAAATAGAAATGAGAATATCTTTCATGTTGGTTTCCACACCAACTTGAAAAGGTGACCCTCAACATAAAACAAAATATCCATGTGGCAAGCGTCGAGTCAGCTTTTAGCGCATGCGGGCGCTGAGAAACCCTAAAAAAAACAAAAACACCCTGCAAAACGGTAAAGCTCGCAACCAGTTTTTGGCATGCCCAGGATTTCTGGAGCCAAACTTTGGACTCACTTCTGGTCGATTCGCCAAAGGAGGTGCCTCAAAGACATTTGGCCAGGGCTTGACATCTGAACAAAGAACCTGAAAGGAGGTGTTTGCTTCCTGTGTCTTTAAAACCGACATAATCCAGCTTGCATTGGGATTTTATAAACACCCAAACCCAACGGTGGTTGTAAAGACCCAATACCCTGAACATACCCTGAAATATATATATATATATGTATATATATATATATGTGTATATATATATATATATATATTAATATCTATATATATATATTATGTATATATATATATATATATATGTATAAAACGCCGGGGTTTTGGGGTAATCCTCCCGTAGGTCCTCGCCGGACGGCGCCCTCCGGGGAGCGCACCCTTCCCGCTGCAGGTGGTGTTCTTGGTGCAGTATACCTCGCAGGGTTCGGGTCACCATTGGATTGGTGGGTTCTGCATGGGTCTGGGGGTTGGAGTCATGAGCTAGCCTTGGATATCACTTCTGCCATCACCTGACGAAGTGTTTTGAACACCCACGTAATTCCCAACAATGTAATTAGACTTCAGCCAAGGACCCCCTTTTGGCCCAAAAAGATGCCCAGCTTTTTTATGCGTAACCTCTGACAGAAAACAGAGTGGAATTCGCTGTGGACAAGCCCTAGCTTTTCTCCAACTCGGGAAGTAGGTTCGGGGCCCCAAGGATTCGGCAGCCAAACCTTATGGAGGTGCCCAAAAAACCTCAATGAAGGGTTGCTGGTTTCTCAAGCGGAACTCTGGATTTTGGTGGAGTTGAGTTTGTCCTTAGGGTACCATGCTCATTTTGGTCGGGTCTTGTTTGGACCCTTCAAACCGGTTTCGAAGGTTGGGGTTCTCCACTGGAGGGTCCGAGATCTGCAGGGGGTCAAAGGGAAACCGAGAGGAACGCCTCCATTTCGAGGGGTTTCTTTTCCGCTGGCTTAAGCCTTTTTGCCTGTGCCCAGACGGTCCGGAGCCTTCAGGGCTCAGCCCCAAGAGGGCACCAACCGGAAATGCCAACTCAAATAGCGAGCCTTGTTGGAGGCCCGGGCAGTCGTGAGCCCTTGGACAAAAACAGCTCCCAACAAGTCCAAGTCTTGTCCTCAAAACTGCACATGAGGCAACCAAGCCTTGCAATGGAGGCTTTAAGCTCCCTGCAATGGAGGGTCCTCATAATTCAGACTTTTTCTTGGGTATCACTTGACGCGGATGGTTTTCCTCGCGGCGCTCCCGGCTTCGGTTCCCGCTTCAGGGTTTGGGGTCGAGCCAAAATCTTGGCTTGTCCTAACGCCATGCGGAGCTGGCAGAAGGGTCGCCGGACCCCTTCATTAAAGACCCCCAAAGGGGCCCAAGGAATCGCGACCAATTCCTCCTTCCTGCCCTCAAAAACCACCTGAACCCTCAAACTAATTACACATAGAAAAGAGAATTCACCGGGCAATCACCTGTTTTTATGCATGGTTTGAGGGTCCACATAACCCCAAGAAAGGGGGGCCCCATGAAGCGCCCGAATGCTGAGCAATCCAGACCGCTCGGACTGGATATGGGCCTTTTGCTGTACTCCCTGTTAAACCAGGTAGTGGACCCGCCTACATGTCCAATGGGAATCGGTTGTTGGGCGCTCGAACGAATGACCATGGGTGGATACACATCTTCGGGTGGTTTTTCCAGGAGCTTTGGATCAGCCCTGAAATTAGTTCTCGATCTAAGATTCCCCGCGTTGCACACGCGTGAAGGATAGTATCCAGGAGCACAGAGTCGACAGTCGTCTCCTGAAATGGGACTCTAAACCGTCGACAGGCACCAACCACTTACCCAAACGCTCAGCCGCTTATGGACCACCAAAAGCGTCCCACACATAGCGAGAAGGCCGAAAGAAGCAGTTGTCGTGTGCCTTTGGATGCTCGACCAAGACTTGAAGGTACCCTTCGCCTCGAGTGCATCACACACACACAGCGCAGCCACCGCCAACGCCACGTAAGTTAAGGAAAAACCACGCGGTTCGACGGTTTATACGGGGACAAACCCCACAAACCCCCGGTTTTGTTTGTGCATGGTTAGACCACACTATGTGGCTTGAAAAACCCAATTACGAACAAAAGACCCTGAATCTCAGGGAAGCAAATTTGGTCCAAATCAGCTGGTGGTTGGGTGACATCTTGGTAGCTGCCGTCCTAACGGGAAACAAAGCAGGCCGAGCCTTGTAAAGGGAAACATCCCGTTTCAAAATATGTGTGCTTGTCTTTTGAAGGAACCACCAAAATAAGTTGTTCTTGAAGAATAACTATCAAGGGAACGGCTCCCCTCATTCGCACGGAATTTGTCCACCCACGGCTGGCAACTTGTTCGAAAGGATCTCCCCAAGACTCCAATTCCACTGTTGCCGGTCAGAAAAAACCAAAACAACAAAACATAATAATAATAATAATAATAATAATAATAATAATAATAATAATAATAATAATAAAATTCATGTTGCTTTGAGGGTCTTGATCTCGGCTTCAGCGGCCCTTGTCGCGTCTGCATTGGGATCATGACCCTTAGGGTTCGCTTATAAAGTGAGTTGGATCCATCCCCCTTCCGCAGTTCCGAAGTCAGGGTGCCACCCTTGTGGCCTCATACCCCGAGCCAAGAAACCATGAAAGCGACTCCGATCCAGGGGGCGCAAAACCACAACAAAACATCGAAGAATCCACGGCAGCCGCCATTCCCTGCAAGGCTGTGGCAAGTTGAAAGGGCAAAAGGAAAACCCAGGTCACTTCTGTCTGGCAAAATGGCCAGCTAACTCAGGATAACTTTGCCTGCAACAGGTCAAATGGTCACTGTATCCCTTGCTGTTGTAACTGCTTGAGTGAAACACCCTGTGATGTGGACCGGAAGATGCATAGGTGCATCAGAGTTCCCATGGTCGTTTTTTTGGGTAAAGCCGGGTTTTCCACGGCAAATCGGGCCCAGTGAACCCAAACCTGGATCTACCTGTACCCACCTGGGCGTTTCCCGAGTATATTGGCCAATGTCTAAAGTTTGTGGTTCACCACTAAAAGTGTCTTCCCACAGAGGATGTTCTACCTGGCAGTGGCTTGTTGTTTACCACCAGTGTCTTCAACTGAACAGCCTGGAAACTTGGGGATTGAGGGATTCTTTTGCAACACCGACCCATAGCGCCGCGTAGGTCCGGGGCTCCGGCCCGCCCATTCTTGGTAGCACTGACATCCGTTGATCTGATGCGTCACCGGGTGCGTCGTGCACTCCTGGCAGCTCCGGAGACGAAATGGAAGAACCCAAAGCGGCACGGCATTCAAACGACACCAAACCCGCGGGAAGTCGTGGCTTGCCCTTAAGGTTCCGAGGACCCTCAAGAACTGGGACGGTTTTCCGGGGGTTATGAGAAATTGGTTGGGGATCTCCATTGGGAGGGCCCTTGTTTAAACGGGAAATCGAGTTGGACATGTTTGCCTACGACCTGGGTGAGGTTGTTCAGTTCTGGCCACTTCCATTTGTCGAAGACACAAGTGTTTTTGAGGGGGGGAAAGCTGACCCATCACCAGCTCCCATGAAAGACGTGGGAGGCTTAAGAGCAGCTGAAGCAAACAGAAATCTAACGGCCCACGACCGATTTATGGGGCCCCTGTTGTAGTGTCCCGTAAAACGGATCGACCCCTCAGAAGGGTCCATGGTAGCACAATCCACATGTGCCGGCTTTGTTTTTAGGCGCCTGAAGCGAATGGAAGGGAGGGTAAGCTCAGTTGCAGCTTCGCGCAGGGCGCATGCCGAAGGTCTGAAGAGCTCTCCATTAACATTCAGTCCAACAGGCCCTAGGGACTTGATCTATGGGAACTACTAGTTGCCTAAGCCGCTGTCTTTGTTTTGCGGGAAATCACCCGAAAACCGGCAATTTGTTGGGTGCATTCGACAAGAGGGGCGACCGTTGTTGTTGCCGTAGAGGTCTGCTTTTGGGCCCTCGAAAATGGTTGTTTTGGAGGACCCTGAGCGGTTGGAGTTCTTGCTTGGAGGGTCCAGGGGTTTGCATTGGAGGGGGCATGACACCCCTCCCCTCTCCCCCCGCCCAAAAAAGTGAAACAAGTCGTGAAAGCCCCTTTGAGGACGCATTGTGAAAATCAGATATCTGCGTTCCCATAACCATTCTCTCGCTCAGGGGGTTTCCACAAAATATATCACCGAAAGTGGCGCCCTAAGACCCCGCCAGTCGGATCGCGGACGGATCGCCCTTCCGAGCTCCCCACGCCGTGGCCGTTGCAGTAGTCATCCGGATGGCAGTAGATGGCGCAGCCTCGCGAAGAATTTCAAGCCCCCCCGGAGCTGGCCCCAAATCCTGTCTGCAAAGACTCATCTCGCTGGTTGGATAGGCAGCAAGTTGAGAAATGGAATGCCCCCCCATAACCCCTGGCCTATGGTTTCTTGTAAGAGAATCCATCGGTTGATCCCCAACACCCTGGGTCATTCCCTACATAGAGCGCCAGCAAGTCATTCTGGTTGAAACAAGCATTAAAGCAATGCTCTAAGGATCAGGGCCAATTGAAAAAACAGCAGGGGCGCAAAAACAATCGAGACCCTTTGGGTTAACATAACCTCCATTGTTTGCCCTTGAGTTTCATCATCTGAATCAGGTCCCCGCACACCATTATCTCAATGGCTGCAGGGCGCACTTGTATTGCTGTCGAATGATGTCAGCTGACTAAGGAGGTATTCAAAGTGGAGAACCGGCTCTTTCAAAATGTACGATGCAAAAAGCTGAGAAACAGCAGGTACAGTTAGCACAATATTTGGAGACTTTCCACGATGTGGGCCACAACGGCTCCACGTGATGACTGATTGTTTTGCAATGCTGGGGGTGGATATGCAGCCACATGCTAACCAAAGCCATTTAAATTCATGCAGACAAACCAAAATAAGTAGGGGTAGATATACAAACATACATGCACGCAGATACGAAGAAAATCAAACTGGCGGAATCCGTCGATTCTCACGCAAACTGACCAATACGAACACTTGGTGGGATCCAAGAATCGTGGTCTTTCCATAGCCAAAATTGACTGGACTTGTTGGGGTCATTTGCTGATATTAGAAGGACCTGCGGGTTCAGATAAAGATCAATTTGAATGGGTACAAGGAGAAATTAAAACCACCCAAGAGAAAATACCCGTTTCTAATCATTGCTCATCCATCGATTAGACTCTTGTAGGACCCCTCAAGCTAGGACCGGCACCATTCTCCAAGTTGTAGTAGTACTGCTTGCATTGGTCGCACCTGGGATGTTTAGGAGTGGACAGAAAGCAAAAGTCAACGGTAGGAGTCAAAAATTGGAGTTCGCATCGCCAAACATGGAATGCTCCCTTTGACACCACCCAGATTTCGGGTACTCCGAAGACACACCAGCATATCAAGGGGCCCATATGTTAAAACCACCCCAGAGACACAGTGACAGGTCCCTTGCCAGTACCGAGCCTTCTATGGGGCTGTCTGAATCGGGGGGAACGCTTTTGGTTGGTTTGCAACAGGAAACAAAGGGAAACCACCATGTAGGGGGTCCTGTAGTTTCAGACACACCCATGTGCATGCATACAATGTCTAATTCGCAATACCAGGATCTGGGGATTCAAGGTTTGCTGTGGGAAACGGGGCGTGTAGATTTGCTGCAGACCCCGGGACACTCCAATGAAGAACCCCAACCAATTCCTCAGGGGCCCTTGAAACAAACAAGTCAGAATATTTATTACCTGTCAGCCCCAACACAGATTGGTTCGATGGATGACTCCGAACTAAGCCGTCCCGTTGCTTTCATGGAATCCTCTTCCACTTCATTCCAAAACGCCCAAAAGTAGGTCGTGACTGACAACCAGCAAAACCTTTCTGGGTTTTCTGTCTGAGAGGAGCCTTGAGGGTCACAAACTCCCTTGTGAGGTCGCTACAAAAGGCCACATCGCAAGGAGCCAATAGATACGCCGGATGCCCCCCACTTCTTCCAAGAATCGCGCGATCTTTCTGTTGATTTTCTGCCGAACCCTAGGACCATTGAGGGGATATCAAGGAGCACCATTTGACGAACGGGCTGCAACCTTCTAAGGACGTACGTACTTAGACCCCTTTTCGACCCCTCAAAAGCCATCCTCAGAAGGTACTTGGACCCTCTGACACACACACACACACACACACACCGGTGATTCGTTCGGTCGATTCGGCACTTCGAAACGGCCGCCGTTTTTGGGAACCAGCGGATGACAGCCATGGAAGTCACAAAGCATCCAAAAGCATCCAAACCCGAGTCCCATTGGTGTGACTCTGAGTACACGCTTGTTTCAGGGTATGATGTCATCCCCTGACTCGAACAAGGGATATTGACCACCGTGTGTTGTTTCAACATATACTTCTCCCGTAACAAATAAGATAGTCCCAACAGCCCCGGAACCCCCCCAGGAGGCCTCCGGAACCCTCAGGCCCTCAGGCATGCACCGAAGCGCAGAGCCTACTTGGGCCTATCAACTCCAAGTTTCGAATTCCAAAGCACATTTAAACAATGCCCTTCTTCAAGCGCATTTCTTGGATTTGAAGCACATTTTGCAAAGGCCAAAAGGCCTTCCCCAAAAAATCGTCCGAAAAGCTCCTGGAAATCGTCCTTTTGGCAGTTTGGCAGGGAACATTAAAAACAACGACTGAGGATCCCCCCAAAGCTTTAGGAGAGATCTACCAACTATAGCAACGGTGCCCAATTTCGGGTCTGCTTCGATTGTTTTTGGCTCATCTTGAATGTTTCAAGAGCGCCTGAGGAGTTGGTCGTGGTTCTTCATTGGAGGGCCGGGGGGTCTGCATTGGAGGGGTCATGACCCTCTTAGGGCGGGTCTTATGAGTAAGGACACAGCCACAGGGTTGCTCCCTAGGGGGTCGGGATGAAACATTGGCCAAAACACAGCAGCCTGCTTGAAGAAGAGAGTCCCAGAATGGCTCATCAGCTTCTTTAAGAAACCACTTCCTCACTTCCTGAGTGGATTGGCCAAACAAAGACCAAACTGTTCACTTGCTCCTACTAGAATGCTCTTCCAACAGCGTTTAAAGTCCAGGCGCTGAGAAAGCGAGCTTCTCCCCAAAAACCCGATGTGTAGCCTGCGAATGCCCTGCTTGCGTTCCACGCCCCCAGGCTTCTCTGGGCGTCCGGTCCGCTCGCCCAAATACCCGTCTTTGCAAATGCAGCTGCCGTCCCCTTCGGGGCCTTGGTGAGGCTGGTTGGGGGCTCCCCCTTTTTGTTGGGTAAAAGGTAGCCATTTTAGGGGACGGGTTGAAGGGAATGGGGAAACAAACATCAAACATCGGGCCTCCTTTTGACACAACATGATGGCAACAACCAAAACCCTCCACCCCCCCAAACGGATCCTGCTTTGTGGATAGCGCTTGGGGGGGCGCTGGCTTGACGAAAACGGAATAGGGTTTGGGGGGAAGTTTCAGATTCATATACTCCCAAAACACATCAGAACCCATGTGACATGGACCATCATGGCTCGCTGTGTTGGGGCAGGGGCTGTTGTGTTTGGGCGTCCCTCAATTGAAGGGACGTTGTACAGTCAGCGTGTGCACCTTGAACTCACTAACACACCCCAGGCATTTCTTCCACAGCTTCCCATTGGAGGCTTTGTGGGGTGGCTGAGAGTGTAGATTTGCTGTGCAAGCGCTAAACTGCCTGGTGATTGGACACCTCCAGTTTACGGTACGTGGGATGGTGAGACACCGGGACCCCCGGGACCCTGGCCCTCGTTGCACCTGGCAATTCCCGCGCCAGTGCAATTGCACCTCGGGTTCGGATGTGATACCCGAATTCTCACTTCCTCAGAGGATTAGCTAAAAGCCCACACTGTTTGTGCACAAAAGTTTAAAGTCCTGGCACTCAGGAAGTGAGAGCTAGATGAAACAAAAATGGGTGACTCCGCGCAAAGGGCAGGGCCTCTTTTGCCTTGGCAAACCGCAAACAGGTACCAACTCCCAAAACAGAGACAGCAATCGGGTACTTGGACATTGACAAAGCTGGAGGGAGCCAGTCACTGGTTCAATCCTGGTGAACGTGGATAAAAAATATTGACATGTTGATTGGGCAGGACACCCATCTGTCACCAACCCAGGGATTCTGGGTATCTCCAAGGGGCACCTGGCGCGCAAACGCAACACCCAAACACCACCCCCACAGAGCCTTGACTCCTTTCAAAGACTTTACTAGCTTCCCTAAAAATGACCTCAATGCAAACCCCACTTCGGGGCTCAATCCCATTTTTGAGGACCAAGACCCGGGTTATGAATAAAACCATTTCAAAAAGGGACGCCAACGAATAAAGAAGAAGGGGTAATTCGTCTGGGTGTACGGTATGTTCTTGGCAAGCGGCACCCAACCACTGCTTTTTCAACCACGTCCAGTACCCCCGCGTGCTGTCCAGAAAACAAATTTCTGTTTTCTTGGGGTTGTGCTGGGCGGGGACGAGCGATTGATCAAGAACAGGGGGTTGACATCACCCAAAACAGGGCCACCCCACCTGATTATTACCCCACTTTGAAGCCCACTTTAAATTCACTTCCTGAGTGGATCAGCCGCGCAAAGTCCTAACTTTGTATTTGCGACTAAGATGGTGCTCCCAAAAAGTGTTTCCAGTCCAGGACCTCAGGAGGTTAGTAAATCGGCCCAAACTCTTTAAGAGGAGCTAGAGTTGGACCCTAAATGCCCATGGAGGTGCCCTCTTAGCTTAGTGTTTTCCAGAGCATTCTCCATTGAAAGGCCCATGAAGGTCCATGGTTCTGCGCTGAGTCACGTCATGACTCTGAGGGTAAGGCTCCTTGACTGGGATAACCTTACTTGGACTGAACCTGGTTGAACATCAGCTTCCCAGATTGGTTCAAAGGAGTAGCATTTACCCCAGGTCTCGACTGTTCTCGGGGCATTCGCAAAATATGCTCAGAATCTTGTTTGTTGTGCATGGATTGTAATGGGGCGTCCTTGGCTGGACATGATTTAGGTCAGGATTTGTGTCCATCGCATCAAATCCAACCCATTCGCCGTAAGGGCCCCGGCAACTGGTCGCACTGCGGGCCATACCACCCAGCGTCGCACATGCACACCTGGCACCAGCATTTCATATTTAGTCAACCTGGAAAACACACTATATTTCCGCATGTACTCCCCTGCCAAAACCGACTTGTTCCACAGATTCACTGTGTTTTTGGCCCCACTCACCAACACAAACGGCAGTATCATGTCTGGTTCCAAGTTTGGTTCATTGGGAATGTTGCGCAACTTTCCCATGTTGCCACACACTTGTATGACAGACCAAATGATTACAAAAAAGAAACAACAAAACACACAACAAACCAACAAATTCCAACCATGGTGGAGATTCGGATTGTGTTATGTTGTTGTTGTTGTTGTTGTTGTTGTTGTTGTTGTTGTTGTTGTTGTTGTTGTTGTTGTTGTTGTTGTTGTTGTTGTTGTTGTTGTTGTTGTTGTTGTTGTTGTTGTTGTTGCTGTTGCTGTTGCTGTTGCTGTTGCTGTTGCTGTTGCTGTTGCTGTTGCTGTTGTTGTTGTTGTTGTTGTTGTTGTTGTTGTTGTTGTTGTTGTTGTTGTTGTTGTTGTTGTTGTTGTTGTTGTTGTTGTCGTCGTCGTTGTTGTTGTTGCTTCTTCTTTCGCTCGTGCTTCCCTTGTTTGGTCAAGTAGTTCTGTGGAAATGTTGCGCAGCACTTGTATGTAACATGTTGCGCAACATTTGCCAACTGTTGCGCACCATGTGCGGCCCTGTCCAAGCACCCTTTTGTTAAGGAAGGGTGAGGGAAGCCAAAAACCAATAATACAAACAAGCACAACACATTCCAGTCATGGTGAAGGTTAAATTGTTTCTTTTGGTTAATTGTGTCTTGTTGGTGTTTTATTTTGTGTTTTGTCCGGTGGACATTTTGCACAACATGTCCCAACGTTGCGCAACTAGATTGCAGCGGACCAAACAAACCTTTCCAGCCATGGCGGGGGCAGGATTATTTCTGTAGTTGGACTTTTTCTCCAGTGGTTCTGTGGGAATTTTGGGCGATCATGTGTAGGTTGATGCGCGACGTTTGGCTGATATCACAAAGGAACACAACAAAAATCAACACACTCTAGCCAAGGCGGGGGCATAATGGTGTTGTTTGTTTTCCTTGTTACGTGTTGCTTGTTTTACGTTTTCTGGCCCAGTAGCTCTGTGGGAATGATGGGCATCATGTGCACCATGTTGGGCAACATTTGCCAAGTGTTGCGCAGGATGTGCGAACCAAATTGAGAGCCTCGGATTTGTTACGCAACATTTGCTGCTCACAAAATATTCATCTTGGTGTGGCTTTGCAAGAACTTTGTCTGTGTGCCATTTTGGATCTGGATTTTGCTTTATGTCTTTGTCTCATGGAAACCCTGCTTTTTCGAGGGAGGTGCCCCTCATTTTTGAGGGGAACAATACATACACTGCGATGTTTGATCTTATCTGACGAATGCTACAAAATGCCGCGCTTTACTGCATTTGTTTGCCAAGGCGCAGATCTGGATGATTGAATCACTTTCCGGTGATTGGCTTGGCTCTTGATTAATGCATTATTTTCTTTTCTTTTTTTTTCTTTTTTTTTTTTGGGGGGGGGGGGAATTTGTTAAGGGCGACAAACGTTTTGACATTGAAGTTAGTTTCAACTTCAACAGTTGTTCTCTCCAGGTGCTTTGTCATTGTTTCCCGGAATGTAAAAGGAAATGCAACCACTTCACGTCGAATTGGATTGAGCACTGTCAATTGGGTATTCTTCTCATAGAAGATGTTGAATAGATGCTATTGACATGCTTGAAATGGAACTAGATACACAACACATATATTCGATAGAAAGGGCCTCGTTTCCACGCGTTATTTTGAAAGACGTGTAAAGGAAGCGTACCTAATAAGAATAATTTATATTCTATATTGAACTGCAAAACAATGTTGAGCACCTATAGTTGATCTGGATTCTAACTTCAAGTAGCAATTTAGATAGGAATGACTCCCCCCAAATTGGCGGGTTGCTGAACTGTTTCTGCGACATGATAAATAAGGGCAAACAAACAACAATGGCTGAGATGTGACAGGAAGGCTGAAGCTGCCAATGTGTACTTTGCATAGTGGATGAGATTGGACAAAAGATCTCTGGGAATCTTGAATCTTGAATCCCATTTGCCTCAAAGTGGCTTTAAAGTCACTAGTACGTGGTAGGAGATCTAGGCCAAAAGAGCTCCACACAAGCGACCTTCTACACTGAAGGTATGCGCAGGTTTCTTGTACACTACACCAGAGGTTAGTCATTTGGTTCCTGTTGTTCATTCCTTGTCATGCTTCCTCTTTTGGTTTAAAGGACTATTGGCGCAGGGATACATCGGGGTAGCTTGGGAGAGGCTTTGGCTTTCATGGCGTAAGCCAATTGTTTGATGGGCATGGTGTCAGCCCCTGACTGAAAACGGAGTAGTTGCCTTGGAACCATCCAAAAACAACCAAACAAATACAAGCCACAAAAAGAGGATAGCCTCCGAAAAGAAAGACACACCCATGGTATATTGTGAAACTCTTTGAATGTACACAAACACCAAAGGTTGGGTTGCCAGTCTTTTCCAAAATCACTCAAAAGACTCAGCCAATTATCTCCAGCCGTATGTGTAATAGGGGGTAGGCAACAACTGCTGCAAAGGTTTCCGATTGAACCACAGTGAGACACGGGCAACCCGCAAGAAGCAAAGGCCTCAAAATGCACCCTTATCCTCCCCAAGACCTCCAGTGGATATCCACCCCTGTATTGAGCTTCGCAAAACGTTGTCGACCTTAATGGAGTCATTGTTAGTCACCAATGGACACATTTGTAATGGTGCCTAGGGCTCTGCGAGTCATACTCAAAACGATGATGAAGAATCAAAAGGCGCGAGCCTCACCTACTTTTGGCTGGGACTGTCCGGTACTAATATTCACGCACGCCAGGTTTTGCTCGTGGCTCATACCCCCTACTCCCACCACCCACCTTTTAAGGTGATGTCAAACGCTGTGAGCCGCTGACTAAAGAAGCAGGTTCTTGACCTGGAAAACTTGTTCTTCAACTACTTGCTGGGTTGCTCCAAGCCGTCGATCATTGCAAGCAGTCTAAGGGGCCTTTGGGAGCTTCCTTCTTCCTGCCCCAATGCGAATCGCGACCAACTTGTCAAGGTCCCTCGAATGCAACACTCCCTGAGAACCCCAAAGCAGTGGGGAACTCGGGACCCTTCGAGAAGTGGTTGATGGGGGAAATGGAGCAGGCTACAAGCAAGTCCCTGAAGGTCCCCATACGAAACGGACCCAGAAAGGACTGCTGGTTTCCTAAACCTCGGAAATCGCTCGATGCTAAGTCAATCGGATCGGATGGCCTGGTTGCCCTGCAAATCCACCCCGCAGCTCAGGCGGGTGATGGAGGTGCTCGGCATCTCCGGGACCTCCGCGGCAAGTCGGCAAGTCGATTTGCCCCAACTACCCGTTGCACTTTGGGTTGAACAAACCGTGACGTTACCTTGGTGGACTTGGAAACAACGAACCCCCCGCCCGGTCAACCCAACGTGTTGTTTTGTTGGAGAAAAAAAAGGCCTTTCCATGGAAACCTTCTCTTCCAGTGAGGGACTGACATCATTTGACGGTGTCTTAGGAGCGGCTCAGCAGCCGCCTCGAAACAGCATCCAGTTCTCAGGCAGCCCCTTTAGCTTCCCAACGGACAGTCTGCTTGGAGCTGGCTTCCACTGGCCCTCGGACCGGACATGAACCTGGAAACATGGGTCTGCCCTTTAAAGGGCAACTGGAAATACCAGGTTCACCCGTCTTCAGCTTCCGCGCAATGGGTTTGGAGCCGAATCGGTGGATTGGTGGCTACCCAGTTTCCCACAAGATCCAGGGGAACACCTTCTTGAGCTTCTCCTCAATTGAGGCAATCAAAAGCGATCGGTATTACACTGGTCCACCCAGAACCATGACAAGAAATAAGAAGGTGGCCGCAAATATTTATGGTTGGGGCTGTCCCTCACACTTACCCCGGGTTCTCATTAAGCATAACTCAACTGCTGGTTTGGAGCCCAGTGGTCCAGTGGTTAAGGGGTGGCAACCGCGAAGAACCACCAATCCAAACCACGAATTATACCGGACTTTTGGAACCAAAGGACCAACGAGGGAAAAACAAAGGTCAAAGGGTCGACCGCTTTAGACAGTGCGGGGTAATTACCTCCCACCAATAAAAGGACCCCCTGTCAGGTTCCATGTTAATTGGTGGGAGGGTAAATTGTTGCCACATGCAACCTCCAGGGGAGCAAGTTTGCTGGTTTGCTGCAGGATAATCCCCCCCCCCCGCCAATCCCGCCAATCCCCCTTGTTCCTTCTGAGCAATACAGCCGTTCCGGCATCAAACCACTACCCCCCAAAGAAGTGAGTGTGCAGCTTGAGTGCCCAACCCAAACGAAAAGCTGCACGAAAAAGCCCCCCCCGGTAACCAAAAGAAACTCACTCAAAAAGACCCTGGAAAATGCTTCAAACCACAAAATGGGAGAGACATAGGTGTTGCTCAAGATGGGGAACCCTGACACTGAGTGGCTTCTTTTGTGGCCTCCCTGTTTTTCACTGCCAAAAAGGGGAGCCTGCCAAAAGACGCATTTGACATTCGCCAGCTCTGAAGGCAACTCCCCTTGGCCCCCCCCCACTCCCTACTTGTAGCCCTATGTAGAACTGCAAGGTTAGGGGAAGCAGCCGGTTTTTGGAATCAACCCCTAGAACCATTGCGGTGACTATGGCAATGACACCATCGACAACGTTTTGAGAAGCCCAATACGGTGGATGTCCACTGGAGGTCTTGAAATCGACCCCTAGAAACCTCCCCACGGATGCTTCAGTCCCCCCCTGCCACGCACAACGCCCGCAGGGTCCACGGGTCCTGGGCTTCCGGGCTGAGGCCACGTGCAGCTCTGCTACCGGCCAGGTGAAGTTCAGACCCGCCACGCCACGGGCCTGCGGGGGCAGGCTCCAGGGATTCCCAGGTCTTTTTGGGGTTATACATATTTATAATATATATATATATGAAAATAAATATCCTTCTATATATATGTATATATTTATTTATATATATATATATATTGTGGGTGTGTATGTGTTTGTTTTTTGGTTGGGGGGATTAGTTTCTCAGACTACAGACGGCGAAGTCCAGGAACACATCATAAACGGTATCCCTCAAACAGGGGTCCTAGATGCGACAAAAATGCGGGGTCTGGAAGCTCGACAATGCCCCGTCCCTTTTGACTTCCCTTGATTCTATGTGTTGTTTTAGACGTGGGCTATTGATCGCACGTGTCCTGAGGGTCATGCCCCTCGAATGCGCCCTCCAAAAAAGATTTCTGCCATTCCTCCGGGGCCCTTGAAAACAGTCCCATTCTTGACTAGGTCCTCCAGTGGAGCGGTTAGAACAAGGGTCCCCTATTTTAGTAGGGGAACCCTCTCCCAAAAAAGAAACGGTAAAAGGGCACTGCTAAAACCTTGTTGCCTTGAGGACATCCAAAACCCCTCGCATCGGAGAATCGGAGCCGGAGGCCAACTCCACCTCCGCAACTCCGGGTCTCGCCTTTTTCGTTGCCTACATGCCGCCTACCAGGTACAGGAGTGCTCCAATTCCATGGCAACCGATTCGGGTCATGACCCGGGGTGCCCTAGGTCTGGTACCGAATTCAGAAATCAAAGGACCCCCGCCCCCAAAGCCATCTGAGGTACTTGGACCTGGGTATAGCAGGATAGAGTTTCGACCCCTAGATCTTGCGTCACCCAGTGCTTCAAGTTACACAATATGATGCGTAACCAGGGCTCCTTACCTCTAGGTTTTACATGGTGTCCCCTGGTTTCCTACCATAGTCGTATCTGGAAGAACTGGGTCATGTTCCCTGCTACCTGACTCGACCCATTGGGGTGTTTGGTCATCCGTTTTTAAGGCACCCCTTTTGGATGGTGTTCAAGTAAAATCAACCGATTGTCTTAGGTTCCCCCCCTATTTTGAGACAAACCCGTCTGTTGTGAGTCGGAGCAACCCTGAGATTCATTTCAATGAGCTTGATCGATGCTTTGCATCAGCTCTGTCTGCGTTCCACGCCAGTTGCCGGCTCACTGTCGACCCCCTGAATTCTTTGCACTGGTGGCAACTTGTCTTTACAATCGATTGCTTCCACGTGCCGGATTCGCTGAAATATACGACAGTCTTGATTCTTGATCACTTTGGTTGAAGCCCAACTGAGCAGCGCGCGCAATCCATGCTGTTTGATTCTGCCAAAAGGGCCATGCGCTCGAGTTTGCCCTATTACACGTGGTAGTAGAAGCGTAATTTAACTTTGATTAGTTGTGTAAATGTGTGTTTTGGGAGCTTGTTTAACCAGGCTGTCTGTAGCTGCCGTGGTCAACCTTCAACCCTGACCCGGGATCAAGACTTTGGTCGTATGTTTTACAGTATGCCAGGTGTGGAAGTGACATCTAAGTTGTCGAATCGGTGGTTTTGGACCTGCGAAAGAATCTTGGAGCGTGTGCTTTCGATGTAAACCCCCAGTTTTGGATCCCTGGTACGCAAACAGAACACAACCGATTTGGATTGACCATGTTCAGCAATCCCTTCTAAGGTAGCGTTAAATGTCTGGCAACCCTTCAGTTTCGTTTGGTTCTTTTAGAGCCATGGTCAACCATACGTGTTTCCACTACAGCGCCCCGAGCTTTTGCGGGAACATGCGGGAACTGTAGGGGGGGTGCTTGTCCCCCTTCCGCGTCCCATTTCTCCCAAATGAACCATCGACAAACGCTTCTAGTGAGTCTCCCCCATGTCCATTTCTTCCAGACGAGCAAGAAACATAATGGTGAACCGCACGTGGAAGCCGACCGGGCCGCTCATCAGCCTTACCATCCCAGGAACTCCTGGCGGGCGCAGTTTGGGGTATGCTTCGCAGCTGGGTCGAGGGAACCCCAGCCAGCCAGGTCCCACCAACTGCTTTTTGGTTGCCGTACCAGGACTTCGGACATGGCAAACCAAGTTCTTGAACTGGGTGCTGGCACAAGGCTGGGATTTGTTCAGGGACCAAGGTGGACCTCATCGCGGGGATCGATCCGACTTTTCGGTCCAATGAGGCCGTGAGCACCACGAGTGCTCCAAGAGAAAACGATGGAGCCAACCCCCCCTTCTGGCCCTTCTGGTACCCCTCTTTTCACATTCACGGTCCATGCATGTTAAAAAAAAGCGGGTACCAGAAGGGGTGGCCTTTACCGGGTTGTTCTCTGGAAGTGGACGGAAGGTCTCTGCAAGATAGTCTTTCCAACCCCTTTTGTCCACTTCGACTGTCCCAGTGGTGGATCCCAGTTGCCGCTAGAGCCTCTTGGTACCAACAAAAGGTGGTTTGCTGGGTTACCTGCTGTACAGGGAAACGGAATCATCGGCGACTTTCAAAACCAATGATGCTTTGGGACTTGGTCGCGATGCGGGTTCTGCATAGGGTCCGAATCGAAGTGGAATCATGGTAGGGCTCATGACTCGTGACCCATCCAGAAATCTCCTGGGACGAGGTCGTGCCTCCAAACACCGGTGAGCTCATTTGTCCAGAGGCCATGCTCGTGCCAAAACAAAGCCGACCAATTGGGTGAGGTAGACGTGTTCGCCCTTTCAACGTATGGCTTGTTTTACATATCGGTGAATCCTTGAACTGGCTTGGCCAGGTGGTGTTGACCCCTGGCGGATGAATAACCCTCTCTTGTTCAAGGCTGTCCTCTTTTCCCTTACAAACCTACTTGCCAAGCTGTCAACACAGTAGTGGGAACCCCTAGGCCACGCCCCAGACACACCTGCTTGATTCAGAACTATAAAAAAAAAGCTCTTGCCCACTGGGCCACCCTGTAGGACCAGCTGATTGATCCGGGGTCACAGCTTCAGCTCAGATCTCCTCCCCCAGGCGGCGCCGCAAGTCCATGTCCGGATCGTTGAAGCCCTGAGAGGCGTTTCGCGGAAAACACGGCGGCCCCCTGCGACGAAAAACCGAGGGGACTCGGCCTTCAGGGATCGTATTTGTTGATGGACTCTTCTTGCACGAGGGTAGTGATTAGGGGCTGAAGAAGTACGAACATCTTGAAACAAATTGGTTTTCCAAGTACCCCACAAGCCCGGCTCTCTACTTGTTTAGGCCTTTTAGTGCATCAATTCTATTGCTCCAAGGTGTGCCCAAACCTCGGTTTCGTGCCCAGAAGCAATCAATGATGACTTTGAGGGCCTATGAGGAATTGATTGGAGTTCTCCACTGGAGGGCTCAGGGCACGGTTTTCCCGGATACATGAACCTGATGTCTTTTTCTTAGGGGGCACGCTTCCTCCAAAGTGACTTGGATCCTCAAGATTGGACACTCCCAAGAAAGTCAACGAGGACCAAGGTCTTTCCAGGACGTCCGGATCCCACGACTCGTGCAATTCATCCCGGCCTGCAGAAAAGTCATGGCAAAGATGCCCACCTACCGTCAGCCCGGTGGTTTGGACTGGGTTCAAACCAAACCACCAATGACCCGACCATTGCTTTTGGGGCTACCCTAAATTGGTTGGGTGCTTAGGGTGCTTTCCCAACTACCATAAGGACTTGGGCTCAAATGCCAAAACCGCCAATCCAACCACGAATTCGGGGGTTGCATGTGGGCAAATGATCTAGCCGCACACCACTTTTGGTGATTTGCCGACCATTTTGTGCAAGCAACCCGAACTACCAACTGACACCCAGAAGCCAGTGGTATTGCCAAGGCCAGATCTTTGCCTTGTTCACGTTGATCAAAGACTGCTCTTGTAGGGCGCCCGTCCCCACATTAGTTTACTTGGATCTTTCCAAGACACCAAGCGGGGCCCAGGAAATAAGTCTACCAATGGTTACTTATAGAGGGAAAGGAATCACTCGGTTGGGTTGGCTTCAGAAGTTTGTTGAGTAGAAAAGCATGTTTTTGTTGTTGTTTCTCTCAGCAATCGACCCTGCCAAAATGGGGTTGACGTCTATCTACCATAGGATGCTTTCTTCTCGCCATCTCCTCGTTTTGATGGTTTGCCTTGTCTCGCATGGGCCACACATGGCCATACCAACACCAGCGCAGCAAGCTCGATGAGCGTGAAGGTTGATGTCCCGAGAGGAGCCGCTCTACCCAATAAACCAAGTAAAAGAAAGGCTAGCTTTGAAAGAAAACTATTTCCAAAAAAGAGAAGGAAGCAACGCAAAGGTTGGTGGGGAGAGCCCTGCAAAATAACTCGCGGATCAAGCAACTAGCAGATTGGATGTTTAACCAACCGACCAATCTAGGCCCCTTTGGACCGTTAGGGTAGGCTATAACCATGGATACAACTGGGGTTAGTCTCCTGACCCTGTAAATGGGACTTAACCACCCAAGTTGCCCGGGAAAGGGGCAAAAGCTTTCCCTTCCTGCCCCAAGCATCATGACCCAACAACCCAATGCAGACCCCGCAAGAGCCCTTGGGTCACAATCGACTTCCATTTGGCGCAGACATTTCCGAGAAGCTCCGAAGTCATCCAACAGCTGTCTTTGGTGCTTTGGATGGGGCTCGGCAACCTCTTTTTACGGTTGCTGTTCTTGGGAAACCACGGGGGAATCCACCAATTCGGGCTCCAAATGCCTACTACACACGGGTATCGAGAAGGACAGCTGAGCCCTCTGAACAAAAAATGAGACAAAATCAACACACGGCACCAAAGGGCCAGATTGAGGGGATGGAATGAATCTTAGACTGGATATGGGTTACTTTGAGTTGGGTGGATTACCTAATTTGGGGGGCGGGGCAAATGTTACAGACCTTACTCCCATAACCACCTTTATATGTGATAGAACCCCACATCCCGATTCTAAGCGCATCGGCCCAATGAATCTGCAAAAGGCAACCGCACATGCTGTTGACCAAGAACGTTCTTCCCAAGTGGCTCAAGTACTGAGGTGAGCGATGTGCAATGTTCGACTTTATCCGACCGACTCTTTCTCCAATCTAAGGCAGCTTCCACTGCCCGCAAACCACCCCATCCAATCTAAAATGGTTTCCACTACCCCCCTGCCCACGTTGGCTTGTCTTGCATATTCAACCAACTTTGTAAGTTGGTAACCATGCACAGAAAACTGAGGCAACTGGGGTAGTCCCCCCTCCCCCCAGCTTGCTATAAGCTACTAAGTGGTTTAAACAGTCCCTTTGCTGGCTATAACTTAAGTGGATTGAACACTCAGGATAGTCGTTCTACATCCGATGAAAACCCCTGTAGGGGGGAGTCAATCTGACCCTTGCACTCAACCGCAAGACTTCGCTCTGCGCCTGGGGCACTTCCTTGTTCCATTCGTCAGGCACCCTGCGTGACAAAACAAAGACATCAGACAGAAGCAATGTATGACCCCTTCCACATATATACATATATATATATATATATTATACATCCCCTTTTGCTTTTGGGGTGTTTTAAATGGAAACCAGAGGAACCAACACTTTTTTGTGGGTCCACTATTTTTCGACACACCCATACAAATTGCCCCCCTTGTGAACATGGCATGCTGGGAAACCAGCCACCACCCCCTGGCATCCAACATGTCACAGATCGACACATTGGCAACAGCACCCCCCCTTGTTCAGTGACCATGGTAGAAAACAGGAACCCGTTTTGGGGGGTTGACTATCAGTTGGTGGGGAAGCTCCTTGGGGAAGCCATCAAACAAACCGCAGCAAAGAAAGGCGCCACTGAACACTGAGGAGAAACCGTACATCCCCACAACCCCCTAAACAACACGCCAAAACAGAAGCATCATATTTTGCTCTGCCTGCCTTTGGGCGTAGATAATACCTAGCCCTCCTTAGCTATGTACTTGTTTGCAGTTTTGGCCTGGGTTCCCGTCTCCATGACTCCGCCACCTGGACCGACCTGGGGATCTAGAGGGTGGCTGCTTGGATGCACAACCCGAAAAATAGGTTGTGGACAGAAGGGAAGTTTCGCCCGGCTACTTGCTGCGGATGGACAAGACTCTGGAGTGCATAAGGCGGTTTATCCCAGCGTTAGGTTGCATCCAACCTGGCGGATTCATAGGGCTTTCCTGTCAAAGTGAGTGGGATCCCCTTTCAAAATGTGAGACCGCAGGACACCCAAAACCCATAAGAACCTTCACCATGCCCTAAATCACACTCAGCTTTGCCCAAATGCTTGGTTCTGTAACCTGCACTGACCAACATTTTCAGACAGGTCCTGGAAATCGCAACCACTTCTGTGATAACGGGAGGTCTTGGCATCACGAAAGTGGGAGCCAGCCCGTCATGTGGTTGTGATTTGTGACCCTTGCCAATATTCAGTGTCCCCAACTGACACTGGATGATTTTGGCGAGTACACCCATTTCTTCATGGCATTTTGGTGAGCGTGCCCCATGTCCACTTTGCTGACAGTAAATATTAACTTACCAAGCGATTGCAGAGGGTACGTGCGCCAACAAACAGGAAGGGCCCTTCTGACGGTAAGCGCTCTAGGGTAGGGAAAGAGGGGCTCAGGCGGGAATAGTTTCCTTCTAAGTCGCCCTCAGGGTCACGAACTCCAATGCAGAACATTCCTCAAGGGCCCTCAAAAACAACCCATTTTGAGGCTCCAAAAACAATTGGGAATCTTGGGGTACGAGTACATCCCAGTTGTCAAGCGCAGTCTGATCCGAGTGGCAGCCACTTGCTGCCTTTGCTCGCCAAATGCGACTTCTCACCTCGGAAGGTTCGGCAGAAACCTGGAGGGGCGCCAGGGCCAATTTGGTTGGCCTTGCCCACCAAACAACAAGAGAGACCAATCATGAGTCCGAAAAGGGCTACAAAGCTCAGCCTTCTCACACTGAAACTGATGAGAGGTCCCTTAGCAT